TGCACGCGTAACCCCCCACAGCCGGGACAACCTCCCTGCACATCGAGAGAAGCGGGTTCCTCAGCACCAGCACGGTTTCAGCAGCTTGACTTGACGGGGAAGCCGGAATTCTGCAGCCAGGCAGGCTCATCCAACACCCGACTTGATTTATTTCCACACAAAGAAGGACCCGACTCCCACGCAGGTACCTGGTGCTTCCTCCAGGAACCGAAGGCAGAATCGTCGCTTCATCTGCGCTGCAGAGACACGCTTGCGAGGAAGCTCATTAAACCTCGGCATTTTTTTAAAGAAAAATCTTCTGCAAAAAAGAATGCCTCCCACCCTGTGCACGTGCCAATTTTACAGCTCGCCTTGCTTATTTAAAAACTACCACTAACAGGTTATTTTCTCTTCTTTGCTGTCGGGTCCTTTAAGTAACACCACTGGGGTGAACCCAGACTCATTTTTCTTCTCTCCTCCCAGCCCTAACTCTGGGGATAGCTCATCCTGGATTTGATTTTTTCCCCGCTGAGAGGCATCCTCATCTCAAGCAACGTCTTGAAAGGAAGACATACAAGCCATAGGCTTTGGTAGGCTCTGCTGTTCCATATGGTTTCCAAGGCTCAAGAAAGCCTCTCGGCTGAAGGAACTGGGAGGACCAGTGTGCTCCTGGGGCACCTTATCAACCCAAGAGGGCTCCTGGCACTGCGAGGCATCCTTGAACCGGTACGGACAGCAGAATCTCACCTTCAGACTAAATAAGGCACTGGTGACTTCTGGAGGTTTCAGCATCAGCTCAGAACAAGCTGTAAGTCAAAGGATCAGGCGGTGGATAATCTAAACAGCAGGAACCTGCTTAGCAGCAATAAGGCCTCCGTTTCTCGTTTAAAATGAGATATGACTGTTGTGATTACTTAAGAGAAATGGGGTTTTTTTGTGTAAAATGGAACACCATTCCTCTAAGGAGGTTTCAAAGTTGGCTTTAAGGCAAAGACTTCAAAACCTTTTGGATTTCAGAGGTATTTTTTCTATTCCCTTAAAAAGCAGCTGCTATAGGAGGTACACAGCAGTGGGGAGAGGAACATTTCATTTCAAATGTTTTAAATCAGAGATGGTTTACTGGAGGAGAAACCAAACCAACCTGTTGTCACCTTAAACACAGGGCAAGGAATAGAGAAAAAAACAGGAAATAATTAAAGCGCTTCCCATGGTGGAAGCTGCAGCTAAAAGCATTTTATCAGAAGAGTAATATCAGGGTTCTTTGAGCCCTACTTTGTCCCTCAAGATGTTTCCCACAAACACTCTGTGGGACTTTTTTGAAAATTTGGTCCTGCACTCAATTCCTCCCGTACGCTTGCTAATGTGCCAGGTGACTGTTGTCCTGGAAGGAAACACAGTTATTACATGACGATTTGCTTTGAGGAAGATGATGATATTTTTACAGCTCAAATAAAATTTAAAGCTGGAAGGTAATTTTCAGCCTGGCTGTTTTGAGAGAATCACTTGGACAACTTAAAATTTCACACGGGCTCCTCCGGTGCGTGTAACTTGTGGCGCAGCTCCAACGTCTGTCGACATTTCATCTGGAAATCTCCTCCTTCGGTCGGTGGACGAAGAGCCACAAAGCTTCATGCTCACCAAGTACAGCAATGCCGTCTCCCCAGGCTCCTTTCGCTCTTGGAGAACCACCCACTGAAAATGTCACTTCTCACAGCCAGGTCAGAACTACCGCACCTCTCGTCTGGAAGAGGAAACCTCCTGACATTGAGCTAGGCAGGAGCCCAGTTTGGTTCATAAAGCTGCAGGACCTCGAGCTGCTTCCCTCGCAACCCTGACGCCCTGCACATCCCTCAAGAATTTTTAGCCTTACGATGGTTTCTGCAAGTTACTGAGGTTTCCACTCACAGAACAAAAACATCACGTCATCAAATGATGACATGAACGACCTCAGGCTCTTCAAGTACGTATATAGATTTTTGGCTGTAAAAATAGCCCCACACCGTGGCACTTAAGTCCCGGCAAAATATCTTGGATTACTTCAGTTTCTTAGATAGACTTTTAGATTTAGGCTGCACTGAAAAAGCTAAAAGAAATCCAAACAATTGACTTGGTAGTTTGAAGTGCTCCAGATCCGACATTCCAGTCCCTGGGACCCTCCGCACGCTGGGACCCAGCTCCAGCGCATCCAAACGGCGGCCAGTGGGCGAGTGTGAAGGTGGCCAAGGCAGACTGGGGCGAGGCACGAGCGGGAGAATCGGAAACGGCGGCAAGTCTGAGGCATTCATGAAGGCAACTGGCAGTGATAAAATTCAGGGGTGCCAGCGCCCACCTGGGCACAGGCAGTAAAGAAAAAGGATCTAGACCAAGCAGACAATCCTGAGATGGGGATCCGCTTAGTAAGGCTTCGAGTGCGTGTCTTCAAGTGCTTTTCTTAAATTAATTGTCACAAAAGACAGGCTACTACTCTTGAAACAGTTGCAATCCTTCATTCCAGTATAAAACACAAAGGCAAGCATGGCTTAAGACCCACGATTGCTTAGGATATCATTTTAAAGTCCGTATTAAAAAATATTTTTTCTTTTTTTTAATCCAAATGATAAATACTTTAAAATAAGCGTTTACAAAAATAAATGGTCCCTTCCCATAAGGAAGGGCACACGAGCTGAAATTCTGAATACATCTTGAGGCAACACAATATTGATGAAGCTAGTTAATAAAATCTTTGGTATGAGAGTATAGCACATTAATATTCATGCACCGTTGTCTTCCCTTGGCAGGTTTACTGTACAGACAAGCGCAGAGGCGGCTTTTCCTTAATTTCTTGATATGTCTTCCAAATACACCATACAAATTTTTCTAACGTGTCTTCCTATGATAATAGGAGAAAAGCCCAAGATTCTCCTGGCTCTTCCTACGACCTTCGTATCTAGAACAGAATGAAGACAGGAGGAGAAAGAGAAAGTGAACACAACTACGTTTCATTCTAGCGAGTAAGCAGCATCTACGAAAAAATAAAAATCAATTTAAAACACGGCTTTCCTCTAAAGCCCATTTCCTTCAATATTGTATACATCAGCTGCCAAAATGGGCTAATGATCAGTCTGTCAGGGTTCATGGCTGGGAGTTCAGACCCGCAGAGAGGAAATCACAAAAAGCCTTGGACCAAAAGACCTGGAGACATCAGTTGGTAATTTTAGCAAAAATAAAGATGGAGAGGTAACTTGAGAAAATACAAAACGTCATCTGGCGCAGAAACAAGGGGCTAAGGGGCTCTGCAGTCTGGGAGAGAGAGACTTAACAAAAACGCTGGGCTGGAGCCGAAACCAGTTTAAACTGAGAAAAAACACTTCTAAGGCTACGGAGTGTTAATCATGATGAAGGGAAGTGATGGATTCCCTGCTTTTTTGGTACTGCTCCCTGAATGCTTTTCTGAAAACGCTTCTATCAAATAGTGGTGACTGAATCCAACGAAGGGAAGTGACGGCAGCTGAGGAAACACCTCAAAGTCTAACGGCCTTGAAGGTCTAATGGTTTCCTCTCAGCCTTAATCTCTGACTCCATGGCCAGTGTAGCAGAGGGACTCTGACCTAGGAACAAAGGGTAGGCAACATAACCCACATCACCTGAAACACCCGCGAACTGGCGCCTACAGCTCTGGGGAAAAAAAACAGCAAAGAACAATGTCTGACTGCAACTGCTGTGACAGGGTATGAGAAGCAGAAGGCACCAAACCAAAACAGAGTTTGGATTCTGCTCCTCGTCCTCCACGTGAAGACCGGCGCTTCCCACAGCGCCGCACGAGGACTCGAGAGGGAGCGGCACCTCGGAATCAGCTGCTCTCTCTGCCTCGGATCGCTCCCCGCTCCGCCGAAGCTGCTGTGC